TTACACCATTTCGATTTTCGATACCTCACTACTATAAAGGCTTGGTTTGGTGCGATATTTCATTGGTCACTGATGAGGAGTGGAATTCTCTGAAACTACTCTGGCTCACAGACACACCCCCAATGAAAGAATAGACCATTCCAAGTTTTTACTTGTTGTTAAACAAATGTTTAAACAACTCTATTCAAAAATCTAAAATTTGTCTACAATTACTAAGTTAACAGTACCTACCATATAAAACTCTTCCCTGTTGTCGACGTTTTGCTAAGAGGCAGCAGCCACAACAGAAGCAACATAAGAGGATACCAACAACAACTACGATAACTGAAGAAATTAACAATCCCACAATCAAGCCCGTGTTACTGCTGTAATGGTAAATGAAATAGATTGATAAAACTTTCAGCAAGTTGATACATAACCCAAACCTGCAAAATAATAGCTAAAATAATGAATTTCTTTTATTTTTTAAATAGCAATCTGCATCTACTTAGATAAATGTATTGATGCTATATGCCTCGTTCTCTAGACTGTAAGTGGTCTATCGAGAGAAAATAGACAGCCAGTAAAACAATGCATAGTGGAGAAATCTGACATCTACGTCCATGTATTTTTAGTATATACTGAAAACTTTTGCTTATATTAAGAAGTATAAAACAACTAATTATTTCTAAATCATTATGCTTTGTCATAATGGTTTATACAGGAGTTCATCACTGTATTACAGCAAAGCTTAATCCATGGTTGATTTTATCAACCTACATAAAAACAACCTAAATATTAAAAACCATGATTGTATTGAAGAATAATGAATGAGAAACCAATAAAATTACTGTTGCATTTTGAGCTTATTTACTGATTAAGTTGTAGCTTGTAATAAAATAAAAATTACTGTTGATTTTCAACATAGAACAAAAAACATATCTGCCACAGAAAAACACAATTGATATAAGTAAAGAAATACAATGGATATTTAGATTTAATAAAACAACAAAATGAGTATACAATTATTTAGAATATTCATGTAGCTTTAGTTTCTTTACAGTGAAAACTGTGTTATTTGTGATTAAAACATGTTTTGAATGAGTTCTGGGTTAAAATAGTGTCACCTTCACATATGGCTTTCATGTGTTCCAAAATAAGTAAATGGTCGGTCTGTTTCTCCTATGTACAATTTTCACTTTCACTACAAGCTATGTTACATACTACATTCTTCACGTTTTTCTTTATAAGATGTAGTGCAGTTGAATACAATTAAGTGTTTTTCTTCAATGCTCAACTAATTTTATGGGCAACCCTGACTTCTTAACTACATTCTTAAGTAGTTGGTGGAATGAATTGTGTGGTAAGTGTTTGTTTCTATGCAGAAGAGGGGTTGTAAATATTAGTTTTTAATTATTTTGTCTACTGCAAAAGTTATAATTTTCCTATACTGAAAATATATTTTTGATAGGTACTTAGCTTACTTACCTCCTCTCACATAAATATCTATTCTTGTTCAGTGCTGCCCTCTATATGCAAAAATATTTTTGTATGCCACAAGTCTTGATCTACCACGTACCCTATGTTCAACATGGTTCAACTGCATCTCGCATGTAAATCATCATGTGACAACCCTCCACCAATAGGAGTGTGACACACACCCTCCTGATGCATGTGACTCCCTCTATTCGATTCTACCGAACTATCACTGCAAGTTTTGGCAGAAAATGGAAACACCAGTTTTCAGTTAACTGTATCCAAAACCCAGCCACGGAAACCAACATCCATGTGGGGGTAGGATGAGGATCATACCATCAGTAAGTCAACTACAATCTAAAACCAGCCACTGGGAACTGACATCCATGTGGGGGTAATGAAAGAGGATTATACCAGCGGCATGTCAACTGCAATCCAAAACCCAGCCATCTGGTGGGGGTAGGAAAGAGGATCATACGGTCTTCACATCAAGTTCAGCAGACCTGATGGAAATCTTGGACCTACCGATCTGTGAACAAGACATGATAGCAATATGATAAATTGTTTGACTAATCCAGAAAACTGACATCTGGACAATTGGCATAAGAAAGATGTCCCTGTAAAGTAGACACTCTCACTCAAAAACAATCTGACAGTAACCACCCACCTCCAGCACAAAAAACATCCACTGTATTTGAAAATTATTGAGGGATAGCATAAGAGGAAGAACTGTACTAATCTGCATGTACCACCACCATGACCCACAACACAGTTGAAGTGAACAAGATTATAATTGAGTGAGGGAACAGACACACCTGTAATACATGTGTGAGGACTTGCATTGACTGGTTCAGCTCTGAATCCAAAACCAAGCCACTGGGAACCATCATCCATGTGGGAGTAGGATGAAAGATCCCAATCGAAGAGGAAAACTGCAATTTTGATGGTTCACTCTAAAGCAACAACATCCATTTGGATAAACCTGTACAGAAATGGAGAATCAGATTGGAGGACATCTCATCATCTACACCAGCAGAACACCACTGCCCTACTCTCAACTGAATTGTTTCATCATTGTTCGTATCGTACATCACTATCACATTCAGGAAAATACCTCCATGGTCCACCAGCCCAGCAGCTTGGAACTGGAAAGTTGTAAGGACTCCCATACTCCACTGAAACAAAAAAAGGAGGGAGAAAATGTGGTGGAGAGTCCAGAGGAACTTCAAAACCAGACATACTGCAATGGGTGGCCACAAGAACCCTATTTTGAAAAGCAGACCATATCTGGTTTATTTAATCAGGGGAATGACAGGGATGGACAGCTATCCTCTTCTGCTTTACCCATGAAGTCCATGGGTAAGGTCCAGAATGGGCATATTAATGAAGCAAATCAATATCACGAGGAAAACCTACAAGAAATTTTGTGGAACACCACATCTCAACAGTGAGTGTTGAGTGGTCATGGAAATTATAAATATGAAATCAACATGGCCTGAGAGTGTGGATTTGACTATCTGAAGTATACCTGACCAGATACCAGTCGGCACAGAGTGGGATCCATACAGGAAAAAAGGAAATTCCCCTGAAAATTGAGAAGTATACAAAAGATAACTTACCCAGTTACAGTCTCACCAAAGTCTGAAGAATGGCCACAGGTGGAAGACCATAACCCAATGATGAAGAAACAGCAATCCAATGCAGATAGTGAGAGATGAATGTATGTGGTGTGGTTCACATGCCCGCCTGAAGAATTTCCTCCAAGGGACGATAAAGATGAGATGCCAGAGAAAAGGTAAGGTGCCTAATCTGATGAGAAGACACCTGGAATAAATTACAGGAAGAAGGAGACAAGGAAGTATAAGCCAATTGAATTAAAAGCCAAACCCAATTGGTAAGGGTGGAACGAGAAAGCACATGAATGGAGGAAATATGCTACGGCATGAAAAGGTGGGAAAGGGCACCATGTAAGGAAGCCGTGCAGGCAATATAAAAACAAAGAGCATGCACAGGACATAGATCAGACCGAAAATTTGGTGGGAAATGGGCAAGGAGGAGGAGTCACTTTCATGAGCCACTGAAGTTTTGGAAAGAGCAATCCATATATAGGAGAACATATGCGGTAGGATAAAACGTCGATGGCAAATAAATCTGACCTACAACATCCACAGGCCAAGAGGAAAAGGAAATGAATCTTAAGGGATAAGTGAAAATTGAACATGAGGACAGAGGTTCAAATGGAGGTAAAGTAAGGCAGTGAAGAACCACATTTACATCCCAATCCAGAAGGACTGTGCACTGAGGAGGAGGAGGATGAATCCAGAAGGAACACAACAACAGAGAGAGGGTAGGAAAAATTAAACTTTACAATACTGGGAAAAACAAAAAGTGTGGGATAAGGCAGTCCAATAACCCACAATCAAGGAGACCAAAGACCCCTGATCAAACAGCCAAGTGAGGAAATCCATAAGAAGATGAACAGTGGGTTGAGCAGGTGAAATCCCTTGATCCAAAGACCAATGGCAGAAAGTGTTCTACTTATCTTGATAAACGAGGTAAAAATGAAGCAACTCGTCAGGACAATCTAGATCTCCTTGCCAAGGACTGGACAAAAACCAGACTTGAAGACATAGGGTATGAAGGCCAGATGAAATGCCAGTGTGTGTGAAGTTGACATAGAAGGGATGAAGTAAAAGGAAGAGGTAATGGTGGAGCTGATTGGAGCTGGAGCAGCCACAGAAACCATGGTTGTGCTGGGCAGTAAGGAGCAATCAAAAGCATCTGACACGGAGTGGCATGGATGATCTAAATCACCCTGGGAAGAAGACAGATAGGAGGTTGCACATAAAAGTATTTGTTAGTCCAATCCTGACTGAGCGCATCAACAGCCAGTGCAAGTGGATGATGATCCGGAGATCAAAACAGAGGTAATTTGGTACTGAGGGGTGTGGCAAATGCATCCAGATGAGGAGTACCCCACCGAAGGCATAGCCACTGGAAAATGAGAGGATCGAGAAACCACTCTGTCAGATAAAATTTGTCATGATGGGAAAGCCAATCCATGACAAGATTGAATGCACCCTGAACATGGCATGCAAGGAAACAAATACCAAGCATGATGGCCAAAAAAAAGAAGATCCAAGGTTCGACCACAAAGGGAATGAGAGTGGGTGCCACCTTGGTGAGTGATATAAGCCACCACTAAAGAATTGTCAGAATGGATGATAACCAGACAATTCCTGGCATGATGAAGATAATGATCCAAAGCATGATGTATGGCCAGAAGCTCCAGGATGTTGATATGATAAGATCACTCAATCAGAGACCACAGACCTAAAGCTTCCTGCTGATTGACACACGCCCTCCAGCCCTGGAGGAAAGCATCCATGAAGATATGCAAATCCAGATGCGTGGGATGAAGCAGAACACCAGCAAATGTGTGAGCCCTGTCCAATCATCAATGTAGATAATTGACAAGGGAAGGAGAAAGGGAAATAGGAGCCTCTAATGGATCCCGTGCAAGGTTCCACTGGTTGTGCAGGGCCCACTGAAGAGACATCATATGTGCCCAACCCAAGGAGATAAGGGCTTCCATAGAAGACCACATCCACAAAAGCAATAGAACCTTGTGAGCAGTAATAGAAGGAGCAGTAAGGGCATGGAAAAACTGAAAGCTCCATCAAAGAACAGAAGGTTGGGCCCAACTGAAATGAGTGTTGAAAAAATAAGTTATCTTTAAGTTCGCAAACTGTTTTAAAATTGAAAAGAACAATTCCACTTTGGAATGAATGGCAAAAAAATACACTACGTTTAAAGAAAAAAAAACACATTTGAAGAGCATGATAAAAAACGTCTTGACACAAGCACTGCTAAATGAGAAGTAATATTTCGGTAGATTCAAATAGAGGAAGTCTATGTTTTGAGTTATTGTAATATCTCAACATTTTATCAGCAATATGTGAAATAACATGAAATCAACTCTGTACAATAGATTTATGCTGTAAAATTAAGTTTACTTGGGCAGTTTAATGGGTAAAAGACATAAATGTTTGATAACTTCAAACATTGACTGTATTGTATTGATGTAAAATTCCAAATATATACTTCATATATGCTATACGTTCTCAATATAATTCACAAAACCTTCTCGTGCTCAGTTTGCTAGAACATTTGAGAAGTCCCTCAACTGAGCATAAAAGAAGCAGAATCAGATGCTTCTCACTCACTCACTCAGTTGGTCACTTTGCCTTGCTCTTCCTCACATCACGCTCGTGATATAATCAAATTCTGCAAAATTTTGTTTTTTAAAATATTTTAAACTCTAGTTCTGTAAACATAAGTTCTATTATATTTCTTAGAAAATAATTTGAAATGCTGTATGCCTTCAGTTCAAGTAAAGTCCAAAAATAACCCAAATAGTTTCGGCTACATTTGTGGAGAATATATTACAGTTTCATCTACGGAAAAACTTCACACACATGGTAAAGGTAGCTTATTACCACTATTTTGGATGTAAAATTGGGGACCAAGATAAATATTAGGCTCCACATGTGTGTTGTACAGTTTGCACATTTGGCTAGACACAGTGGCTGAATAAGAAGAGAGCAAGTATGGCATCTGATATAAGATCATCTAAGTGATTGTTATTTTTGTATAACTAATGTTATATTCTGGATATTCAGACAAAACTAAACAATACATTAAATATCCAGATATTGCATCTGCAATGAAACCAGTACCTCATAGGGATGGTCTTCCAGTACCACATCCACCAGCAAACTGGAGAACAAAAGAGTTATCCTACAAAGAAGACAAGGAATCATCTTGATCTAGTAATTCTATTCCAGTGGCACTTCAACATAAACTGCCTCATCTGATCACACAAGATGAGATAAATGATCAGATTTGTGGCTTGTCTGCATCAAAGCAGCAACGGGAACTTCTTGGTTCTCTTTTACAGCAATGGAATTTATTAGCTCCAGGAACAAGAGTTTCAATTTACCGAAGTTGCCATTAAAGTTTTGCTTCTCACTACAGCATGCAAGATACTTTGTGTTTCTGTACAAATGTTGATGCACTAATGGAAGAATTAGGTACTGAACATTATCCTCAAGAAGGAAGAATTTTTATTGACTCATCTAAAGCTGAAAGCTGTATTTTTGCACAATGGGAACACTAAGTCAGCAATTTCTGTTGTTCTCATTGTGAACATGACAGAAACTCATCAAAGAAAAATTTATTTGCATGATATACAAGACTATTTGAATAAATCTATCATAACTCGAAAACTTTGCGTGATCAGTAATTTTCAACATGATTTCTTTAATCAAAATTATCAAATTACTCAGAAATAGTTGCATTTTATCTAGTTGCAGTGAAAAAAAAATTTTTTTTATGTTGTTGCCCAGTGTAATGAAGTCTGATTTATCATCCCCACATCAAAAATACTTCAAAATCAGTATTATTTCATGGATCTGTATTAGATAATTATGTTAATATCATGATTACAGTATCAAACACTTTGAAGCAGTGTTTTTGTTTTGAAATATAGATTTCAAATGTATAGGTTTTCCAAGGTTCTTTGGCCTATTTTCAGAATAAATAAAGAAAATAATTTTTAGAGGTTTTTCAAGGTTTCATTGATTTAAAAAAAGCAACATGAGATCAAACACAAAGTGCTCATAGTAAAAGTTCACATAAGAAGAAAGGTTACAAGTTTAGCAATGTTGTAATTGATTAATCTTAGATCAGCATTTCTCAATCTTCTTAATAACACACATACCACAGAAAATTATAGAAGCATGACATGTAAGGCAATGTTGTTTCTAATTGCTATGCTAGGTTCATGCATGCAACAATGGGTGACACATGATGCATACTATGGTGCACATTGCAGGCAATGTGGCCAATCCTGCTTCTTTCACTGTAAATCAACTGATATTCATCTTCCAACCATCCTAATGTTTTAAATAGAAAATATATTGCAATTTCAGCAATAAATTCAGTGTCAACTCTACAGTAATTTAATAACATTTTCATTAACATATAATTACCATTTCATGAGTTGCATTATATTTTTATTTATTTTCTGTAGTGCATACTGGTGTATAGAAGACATATTATTAGTAGAAATAAATGACCTTGTAACACCAAAATGTTGTTTTTATTTAATTGAACACTGAACATTTTGTTTTACAACTTCTTCAGCAGTGTTCATTTAAACACAAACCAAAACCGACAGTACAAAGCTTTAAACATTATACAGCATTATACTTATGCTGTTTTGCAACATTTTAAAAATATTGTCATCTCATCTTAAGCCTTTTTTCAGCCCACATGTAAGCCCTGACCCACCAATTAAAAATCACTGTCTTAGGTTAAATTATTACTGATGAACCAACCTACTTTAATTTTTATTTCTTTTTTTTTGGAGGCGGCTTTTTTTTTTACCATTATGATAAACAACGTACCAATATCAATGGTACATTTTAATCAATATTGAGGATGTGATGAGTGGCTAACAGAAGCACAGATTTTTCCCACAACAATCGGTACAAACTTACTCAGAAGTAGTGTATTCAAAATATTCATCTGCATTACAACAGTATTCTGAACCCAGTTCTCCACAACAATATCTTGCTTCTGCAAACTCATGTTTAGGGCAAATCAGGCTGTTGAGTCCAGTGCCACAAATCCTTCCATTCACTGTAGAAAAGTTAATAAAACATTTACACATACACTCACACAACATCTTTCTTTTTTGCTATATAGATTAGTTGATACAGGTTTTTTCACAAATATTTGTAATTATTTTGAAATTGGGATTTTTATGTAAAAAGCCCAATATAATTAGTAAATTAAATCTCATATTCAAACAAGATATAATTCAAAAACAAATAATTAATTAATACAAAGCTCCATAATATTAGTAGAGAACTGGTTACGACAGTCACTTTTTAAAATCTGAATGGCACTCAATCTACCATAACATTGTTAAGTTTCTTTCCACCAAAATTATAATCACTATTCAAATTGTGGTATCCTACATGCACCATCTTGCATTTATTATAATTACAAGTCATCTGTCATTTATTCACGTAACTTCCAAAATAATCTAAAGCAGCATCCTCCTCATAGCAAGATTTTAATATCATCAACAAATACGAGGAATTTATTAACAATTTCTTCATCTATGTTACTGATGTAAATCTAACAGAGCAAAGGCCCTAGTGCATCCCACTTGTGACATGAATCCAATTTGACTGAGCTCCATTTATAACAGCCCTCTGCTTTCTTCTATTCTGCCAGTTTTCTATTCAATTAGCCAACTTAACCCCCACATCCACAGAGATACTTTTTTAATAAGTCTTTTATGTAGCATCATGTCAAAATCTTTCTGAAGATTCAGATACACAAAATCTGCACCCTTACCCCATTTAGGTAAACAGTAGCCTCTTAAAAAAATTTAAAAACTGGTAAGGCAAGATATTCCCCTCGTTTAACCATATTAACAACCAAAATATTTTATACTTTGTTAAATGACTTTGGAAAGCATCTTTTATCAGACTTTTCCTACTATGGATGTAAAACTTATAGGCTTATAATTACTGGGACAATGTTTATCACCTTCCTTAAAAAGAGGAGTAACATAGCTAAATATCAATCTTTTGAAACCTGTCCACTATTCATAGGCTTACAAAAATATTAGGAAGTGGCTCACATATTAAGTCCCTAATGTCCATCAAAACTCTTGAAATTTACAGTTTTGTGCATACCATGATAAGCTAAGTTCATTATTGTCATATGGCTCTCTTGTTAATATTTTTGAGTAAGTAACATTTTCACATTATTTTTTACTGTTGAAAGAGAATAAAATGAATATGAAAGTTATGGAAATGGCAGGAGTCTGTGGAATAGAGGAAAAGCAACAGAAGCAATACTGAGATGGTTCAGTCACACAAAGAAAAGAACAAGCAATAATGAGAGAATTAGAACTGCCAGTAGCCAGCAAGAAAAGACAGGGAAGGCCAGTAAAACATTGAAAAGAGAGGATTAAAGAAGACGTGAACAAGAAAGAAATTGCAGAAGATCTTGCAATGAATAAAGATGATGGAGGAGTGCAACACATATGAAGGATGATAACCCCTGCTAAAGGGGAAAGATTATTTTTTACTTCTTAGTTGTAACTTGAGTTGACATATTATATGTTACTTTTGAAACTAGAATCAGCATTAATAATGCTCTAGAATACTGAGGGGAATAACCTTAAACTTCAGAAATTTAATGTCGACATTAATAATTGTTTGATTTTCCTATTAATCTACTTTGGATATATGTTACCATTTTTTTTACTAGTTATAAACTTTGGTGTAAGCAGTTAGTTTGTATTTAGAATTATTTTTAACAGATGTATCCACCTAAAGTTGTACTTCATTTAGTTTTAGTTTTGATTTCTTGTTTCCTAACATGAGAGATGACTTTTATAGGTCAAATGACTTCATTATGTTACCTTGAACTTGCACTTTTTGTTATCAATTTAGAGTTATTATCTCCAAACCAAAAATTATAGCCTTTCAAATATTATTTTGGATCTTTACACAATTAACATGAAGCTGGCAAATGCTGGATTATAATAAAGTTTAGAACTTTTTAAGTTCTTAGTGTATATATAGATTATGTAAAAGGCTACATTTAGTTTTTGTTGTGACTTTTTTAGGATCAAGAGTTACCTCATGTAATATGTTATTGTCATCATGCTCAGGAGCAGATTTATGCCTAAATGCCTAGTCAGATAAAAAAAGGAAGCCTGGCGGGCTCTATTCATACCAATATTATACATCAACATGATCAAGTGAATGCAAATAGGGGCTTGCAACTTGTCCACTTTAGTTGACTTTTAAATCAACCCCTGATCATGCTCTTTAATAAGTAACCCATAATAAAAAAATATTGGCATCCTTTTCTTTTCTGTAAAAGTACCTGTCTAGTGACTAAACGAATGATATACCTGCTAGACTAAACTTCCTTTCTTAAACATATTTCTCAATACAGACACAAGCAGTAAGTGACACTATTACTGTAATAATCGGTATTACTATTAGTATTATAAAAATATAATTATTGTGGCACCGTAACTTGTAAGCGTAAATAGTATATACTATATAGGGTTATACTTTCCAGTTTACTAATGAATAGTGATATTATTTTTAGTACAATAAAAATTATAAACAAATTTTCAGTCGAACTTCAACTTTCAAGTTTAAATGTATTATTAATAGTAATAGTATTACCTGTATGCAATGCCAGAGAGTTTAGTAGTACTAATATTAATAACAATAACATTGAAGGTTGGTTGTTGGTTTTAAAAATGAAGCCCATCAATTTCATTCTTATGTCAGTTGAAAATCGTAAAATTCAAAATATTTAATAAATATAAAAAGACTTGTTCATTAATTACGGTTCGATTCAAAAAATAATATACTCTGAACTTCTTATCAATTCTCTCTCTCTATAATTTAAGTTTCAACATTAGTTAAAACTATAAATTAAAATATCTCTGAAACTAACTGAATTACTGAAATCACAGAAGTAATTACTCAAACTGCTACTAGGATTCTCTGTTTGCCACATTACTGTCTAAAAATAATGTTTTAAAAATATGAAAGTTTAGAAACTACATGAGCAATAAATATTATTGTGATTGCCAAAAGTGCAAGTATACTTTGAGAAAGTAGAGAAAACCTGAATAATTTAGGTTTTTAGATTATTGTCTCTGTTCTAAGTTTCAATACCTTTTTCGTAACTGCAACACTAATTTTATTCTTTAATTCTAATTTATTCTTTTAGCAACTTATTTGTTTTAAGGGGTCTTTAGCTACTTATTGCCCCCCCCCCAGTGGTACAGCGGTATGTCTGCGGACTTACAACGCTAGAATCCCGGGTTTCGATACCCGTGGTGGGCAGAGAACAGATAGTCCATTGTGTAGCTTTGTGCTTAATTACAAACAAACAAACAAACAATTTTCTTTGTTATTTGTAAATTCACGTTAACTTTAAGAAACTCCATTTAAGTCTAGCGGCACCTCGTTGGCTGCAGCGGACACTACACAGTTTGTTTTTTCTCTCTTTTTTTTATAGCGCTTTAGGTTACCAGCAGTACGTTTAATTTAGACCTATTCTCACGTAGGCCTGTACAACCGCTATTTCTAGCCGAGTATACCAGAAACAGAAGGCCGAGAAAAACTGCAAGCTTTTCATTACATTCTACAGTAAAGTGTTAGCTGTCACATGAGTATTCTAGGCCTAAAGGTGTGGGATTGTTGGTGTAATTTCCTCTGGACGTGCTCCAGTAGATTGATTTCCCATCAACAAATGATTCAACCGTAACCAACGTTGCCTTTGGGGTTAAATACTAGATGTGCTTCCGCAGGGTCCCCGAAAATATTCTGTTTCAAGGGCAAATATCACCGAGATTAAGAGTAATAACAAGTGCGTTTATTTCGTGCGTTTGATGCCCATATGTCTTGCTGTATTGCAGCCTACATAGTGCATAATTCTTCTCATGATTCATGGCATGCGCATGTTTTACTGAAGTCATATTAATGCCTATTGACTGACTGACAGACAGACAACACGCTACTGTATAGTGGTGAGACAGGTTAAAACAGGTGAACCCTCCAACCGTTAAACGTCGTTCAAACTAAATCAATAAATATTTTATACGTATACATAGTCTCACCAAATTTATTTAAATATTTAACTTAGAATTTAGAACTGTCGGCCTTACAGTTCCATAAAAAATTCCATAATCTTCATTAGGATAAGCAACCGAGTGGCTCAGTGGTAAGCTTAACGGCTAACAACGCTAAAACTGGAGATTCGATACAAGTAGTGGGCACCGCCCATGGAATAACTTTGCACTTAAACTCAAACAACAATCTACAACAGTTTTCAAAAATGCTTTTTTAAAAGATTAATTAACGTAAGAAAACTAACTTTTTGGTTGCCAAAAATCAGAACCATACTCTATTAACTCATATTTCATTATTTTAATATTTGTTAGCGTCAACGAATAACAAAACGTGTCTCAGGGCTTGTTTTGTATCTAGAGAGAATTTTACAAAGAACCTGTCTAGCCAAGACTGGGGGTTCAATTCTTCCTTGAATTACCAAAATGCCTTTAACTTCAGGCATCCTGAATGCAAAGGACACGTGATTAGTACATTAGATGTAGAAACAGTTTGAATGATTCTTAGAGTATACTCTTATGTAGAGAAGCTACTTAGTTAGTTTTTGTTAAACACAACACTGCATGATATGTATTGCGCTCACCACGGGTATCGAAACCCGATTTTTAACGTTATAAGCCTTCAGACGTACTGCTGATCCCCTGGGGGCTGTACAGAAGTTAAGCAAACAACCTAGATTGTATATCGATTCGTGATTAATTGTAAACTTCCAAATAATAACAGTGAATGCTTTTAAAAAGGTTGATTTTCAAGGAACTGTGCCCCCCCCCCCAGTCGCACGGCGGTATGTCTGCAGAGTTACAACGCTAGAAACCGGGTTTCGATACCCGTGGTGGGTAGAGCACAGATAGCCCATTGTGTAGCTTTGTGCACAATTACAATCAAACAAGGAACTGTTCGGGTTTCCTGTGTTTTCTGCTGAATTTAGACTTTAGTGATAAATAGGCACCCTCTAATTCGCTTCTGCTGCCTTAATCACCAGTGTTAGATATTCATTTTGAATTTGATTTCCCAAAAGGTTTTATCGGTTGTACAGAGTAAAACATTTGTTTATTTTATTCCCAACGATTCACCAAGTTGAAAATTTGATTAAACTTGATGTATTTTCTCTTGTGTGAGGCATCATAATTAAATAGCAGTGTTTAATTTGTTGCTTATTGCCTTAGATTCACTGTTAAATACCTATTGTTGAAATGTCACGTGTTATTCCTATTGTCTTAAACTTAAATACTAAATAGATGTTGTTGAAGGCTGATATGTTTTCAACTAGGCTTAAAGTTCAAACAAGTGTTGTTCAAGGTTTATGTCTTATATGTTGCCTCGGGCTTCAGTGTAAACATGTGCTTTAGAAGTTTGATATATTATTTTCTTAGTCTTCGTTATTAAATATATAGTGTTTAATTCTGAAATGACTCACTATATGAGCATTACACAAAATGATAACTTTCTTTTATATTTATTAGACTTATTAAACAATTATGATAGATTAAAATTACGCCTTCATTCCCAGGCCATGCTCCGGTTATCCGGGGTAGTAGTAAATAACTCGAGGCACTAGGTATACACGGCTTCACTAACACAATCTTATCACCTAGGTACTAGGTGTACACAGCTTCACTAACACAATCGTATCACCTAGGCACTAGGTGTACACGGTTTCACTAACACAATCTTATCACCTAGGCACTAGGTGTACACGGCTTCACTAACATAATCTTATCACCTAGGCACTAGGTGTACACTGCTTCACTAACATAATCTTATCACCTAGGCACTAGGTGTACACGGTTTCACTAACATAAT